TCGGATGTTGGATTAGAACAAACGTTTAGTTAGTCTCTGCATTTGGATTACAACTTTGAGTTTCTAACACAGTATACAAACTCTTTATATAAACCACATTATTTATAACACGTGTCAAGATTTGGATTTTTATTGAACAGATTATTTGTCTTTGTCTTCTTTATGTCTGCAGCCCCTCAGGTGCACGCTGCGCTCCTGAAGCATCTGCCCGTTGTTGTGGTAGTTGTCCTGATTTGTGCCTCTTCTGTGCAGTAACCCAAATCTCCCCGCGTGCCAAGGGAGCCACACCTCATCCTCTATCCCGCGTGTGTCTGTGTGCGGACAATGAGCTCATTAACCCGTACGGTTTCTCTCCGTGCTCGACGGAGACGGTGCGCCGCAGTAATGCCTGAATCTGTGACGTCCTGTACACCGTGTGCTGCCTTTATGTTGTTTATTCAGACCAGCCTACACTAATTGAACAGTGGCGAGCACTTAAGAGGCTTAGGAGCCAATTTGAGAGGCACACAATCTGACGCACGCTGGACCAGTCACGTGACGGACAGACGGCTTGATCTTCACTCGCTGTTATTGGCCGTCCACATGTGGCTTGATGCATTGGCAAACAATAGATTGAATGAAAAGCTCTAACATATGTAAGCATAGAAACATTTATGGTGAAGATGTTGTCAGTTTTGTGTGCGTGTGGGACACAGGTGAGCAAACAAGCTCATAAGCCCACACAAAGGTGTGCACACTTTACTGTAAAGGCACCGATACAGTGCAGAGCAGTGCAGCCATTACTAAAGAATAATGGGCCAGGCAGCTAATGCAGTGCTTTGGATAGATCCCACTCCACCAGGCTATTGTAGTGGACTGCCCGGGAAATGAATTGCATCTATTGTGATGTCTTAGCTTGGCACTTTCATTGTTATGAGTGTCTGTGCATAGGCTCATGTCTCGTCATAATACACCATGCATCATGCAGGATGAGCACCAACACTACACTAACAGCCAGCAGAAACTGCTCGCGCTCCCTGCCGGGGGAGAGGAAGTGTGTGCACATGCACTCTGTTTGTTTTTCTCTCGTAGGCTTCCTTATTGGAGTAGTAATCACTTCTTGTCCTGTGTGAAAACTGGTTGCAGATGGCGGCTTGAATGAATGATTTCTATGTCATTTACAGTCAAGCATCTCTACCTACAAAACAGATGCTATTCAGTCAATTCATTACCGATCCACAACAGATGCTATCAGAGGCGGTCAACAGCCACTCAGTGTTTATCAGGGCCAATTAAAACCAATCAAGCCTGTTAGACATCATAATGCCTGCAGACGCAGTGATGAAGCTTCACTCAAGTGCAGTGCTGAATGGCCTTATGGTCGCGGAGCAGTCTCAAGCACAGAATCCTCTCGGGGCCGGGTTTTAAAGAGACTTTCATCTAAATCCAAAACAGTTTAGTTTTCTGCTGTCTTTGATCAGGAAATGAATCTTAAACAAAGACTTGTTTTTAAAAAAAGAAGCTTTGTACAGGATAAAAAGTCTGCAAGTAATGCTGAAAGTTCTCTTGATACCTTTTGGGACTCACCGCTAGAGCAGGGCGATATGACCAAAAATATTTATCACGATATACATTTGAAAATTTGCAATAACGATATAACTGACACTAGACAAAATACTTTACAACTGCACAACTTTATTAGTGCAAAAAACCCCATCAATGTATTTT